CTAATAGTGAGGAAGTTGGAAAAGAGAGATCAGGGCAACATTCACAATGAAACATTTGGAAAGTGGTAGAGGGGAAATGCTAGTATAGTAAATCACTATTCCTAGAGTTGTTACATGTTCTGATAGTTCAGTTTTGTAATTACAGAGGGTAGTTTTGTTCTTAATTCTACATAAGGGTCTGAGAAACCTACATAATATTCTATCAGCATTGCAGTGCTGCATTAAAAAAAGGACAAAGATCAACCATTTGGCTAAGTTTCCTGGAAAATACTTTAGATATTTTATCACAACCTGAAGATCTCTTCCCCTGTTCAAATCATCTAAAATAATCAAATGGCAAATGACTTCACTTTATACTAGGATAGTATATTCCCATAATCACTTGAAAATCTAATTTTACTGCATGTTGTAATTTCCCTACACAGTTTTCTGGGGATCTAGTTAAATGCCAGGGAAATGTTTAACGGGGAAATAACAAATCTTACCCATTTATATAAGTTTAAATTTTGTTTGTATTTTATGCTTAAAGGAACACTGAGATGATGAGTTTCACAGAAGTTTCCCACTCATTTTTATTTCTTGTTTTAATTTACAATAATTTTGGACTAAAGGGGAAGCTCTAAAGACCATTTTAAATATACTCAATAAAATTATTTTCTTGACAAAAGAAACTAAGAATTAAAGTAATAGAGTAAGGAGATATTTTAAGAAATGATCCTTAGAGGGTCATGATAATTCGAATCTATAAAAATCTAAATACAATTTTCTTGCATTTAGAGATCTCCAGTACTTCTTATGGATTAGAATTTGAAGCTTTAGTTAATAAAGATATCAAATAATATGTGACTGTGTATACTTTCTCTAGTATTTTTTCCAGTCTCTGTTTCTAACGGTGGCAAAAGTAGATATTGCAAACTGTATGGGGGAATTAGATTATGTTAGTTCAATTACCTTGTTACTTTCCATGTTTAGCCATGTAATAATCAAGAGCATGTCAGAACCTCAAAGAACGGTTCAGCATCGGAGAGAACATAATGAACAATGGCCATTATATTCCAGGACATCTTTGGAACTTTATTACTATTACAATTATTTCCTTTGCATTCGTGTTCCTTTTCTGAGTATCTTAATGAATGCCTGAAAGGCTTTAGAGATTGTGCCTTGGGATGCTTTATCATGATTATGCAGATAGGAGATGGCTGAAAACTTGGATTTATTTTAACCCCCAAATCCAAAGCCCAAATAATAGATGGCATCAAATAAAAGAGATTCTACTAGGGCATCTGATATTTCTAATGATAGCCTAATAGCACAGTATGATCCTACAATGTCTCCTGAGTAATCAAATACTGCATTCTATATAGTTTGCTTTACCATCATTATTAGTTATTTTATTCTTTGGTATTAGTGGCTAATGCATGATAATTGTACAGATAAATCTCAGTTCAAGATTTTTCACATTCAGAACAGCTAATTCTCCAATCATATTGGATAAACGATGGTCTGAAGACATTCAAAGGTACTAGTTAATTACCCTGACATCTCTGTGATAAAGATCAGCATGTAGTCTAAGTAACTGAGGCTCATGGCAAGTGACAAAATCTATTTATAAGGTGTATGGCTTTGTGAGAGTTACTGAACTTTTACTTCTTGGGTTTCTTTTTCAGTAAAATGAGAATACTAATATTTGCCCCTGTGTTTCAAGTGGCTACTTATGGACCAGTGAAAATGCATTTCCACTATTGGCTCCTAGAGGAGCCCCGAGGGCGCATTTGCTATGTGCTGGGCTGCTGCAGGACAGACGAGAAGTTCAAAATCACCAGCTGCTCCGAAGGAGAAAGACAGGACTTTCTAATCCGGTAAACAGTCACATGCTCAGAAACGTACAGGGACAATTCTACCCTGACCATTAGGATCACTCAGAGTCCAGGTCGACTTGACAGCAGTGAGAAAATAAGGTGCTATGGTTATTTTATTATGTCAAGTATGAACTGCAATTTTATTAGCAGAAAACCTGGATTTCACAGGTTGACTGTATGAAGCTGAAAAGCTTTGCTGGAAATGAGTTTGAAAAGTTCAGGGTTCTTAAGTTTAGCGTTTTATCCTTAAAATTAAGTCCTACATCTATAAATATTGCCAGCTGGTGATTTTGAATAGGATCACATTTAATTTCTATCTTGAATAAATTCAATTTTATCACCCATAGGAGCTGTTATTCATCCAAATAAATACAAAAAGATACAGTGTATCTATTATATATATAGATATAGATATAAACATATATAGATGTAGAGGATACTATTGAAACTGTTACTGTTACAGAGAGGAAGAAGGTCACTGGTTTTTAACCAAGCAGGAGGATATGGAGAGCCTGTTGTTGGGGAGGAGGGCATCTTTGATGTGGCTCATTTCTGAAGCTCAGCCAGGGTTGCTTACACCTTACAGCATTAAAATCATGATAATTTATGTGGTTTTTTACCAGAAAAATATCAATCCTAACATCTAGAGATCATGAAGGAACGCCTGAAAGCATAATGTTTACACTAGAATTTTCTCTCTCAAAGTCTTTAACTTATAAGTCTGAGAAAGTGAGCCAGTGTGTCTACAAATCAACAGAAATACCCTTAAATACTCACCTTCACTCCCTTCTGAATTTATAATATCTACGTATAAAAGCATATCCTCTTAAATATCTCTTTACTACCTACTTTTCTTTTTAAAATGTTTTGCAAGTCTTTATTGGAGAAACATTTTTAATTCGTTTCTTCCAGAAATTTCCAAAACAAAAAGGTTTACTATGAAGTAAATAACGAGTTTGCATACGTGCAGTTTGACCTCTAGGCTCTGGACTTTCCAGAAGGAAATCTCACCCAGTACCAGGCTGCACCTGCCAAGTAAAAGTCTAGTCTCTCTCCTCAAACGACGCAAGGGGTCGCCCCTCTCCCAGGGTTGGAGCAGCCAACCCCGCCTCAAGGGAAGACTCCCGGGCGGAAAAAGCAAGACCCATCCTCTGCGGGAACTCCTCCCTCCAGCCCTCCAGCCCACTCCCATCAAATTACTGGGAATTCATCCCAAGTACACCTATTCTCTCTCTCTCTCCCTCCCTCCCTCTCTCCCTCCATGGACGAAGAGCAGCTTGCCTTTTAACTTAGGAACAGTGCAAAAGTCTAAGGGGTCCCCCGCTCTCTGCTAGTTCTCCGGAACCCCGCGAGATGGACAGCGGGGAGCAGCAAGCGTTCTGTCCAGTGTCTCCCTTCCCAAACGAGCAAACGCAGACGCGCCTGCACTCCGCTTCCTGGGACCCTGTTCGGCCCCAGCAAGTGTGACACTCCTTCCAGGCCCCGGGGGTCCTCGGCAGGGGTGACGGGCGAGCTGTGCGCGCGGACTGGAAGAGCGAAGGGAAAGTAGGAAGCTGTCCTTCTGCCTGGCCTCCCTCTGCCCACCGACCTGGGAGTCCAGGCCGGGACCCGGGCAGGGGGCGGGTGGAGGGCACGGCTGGAGCCCCGGCAGCTGCTCCCGTGCGCGGCCGCCTTGCCGGAGCGCAGAGTGGGTGGGAAGTTACGAGAACACAAACCATTCGGGAGCCAAGCACAATAAACCGGATGGCCCGGCGCGGCCAGGCCAGGCTCGCTCGCCCCCCGCTACGCCGGCCTCCGGCGGAGAGTCTCGGCCGGCCCGAGCCCGCGGCGCGGGGGCCCAGCCACGTTTCTAAAGGCAATTTTCAGGTGAATCAAACCTTGTCTGCCCGAGGCGAGCGGCACAAAGGGAGTTTTCAGGGGACCCTCACGCCCAGGCGCGGGGCACAGGCGAGCAGCGAGAGCAGAATGGGCATCTCGCCCCGGCCCGAGTCGCTGTCCCCAGGGGCTTTGCTAGCTTAGAACGACACGAGGGCTCCCCGCCGGTGACCGGGCGTCCCCCGCCGCGGAGATGCGGGGGTCCACAGCCACAGCCTGGTTGTGTGCCCCTGGCGCCTGCAAAGACATTCTTTCTCTGCATCCAGCAGCACCCCACCGCGGGAGCCAGGGACCCCCCAGCTCTGCTCTCTGCGCGCGGCTGCGCTCCCTGCAGACAGACTGGGACGTCAGGGCGGCCAGCGTGCGGGGCGACCCCGGAGCAGGGCAACCCCGGAGCAGGGCAAGGTGGCCCCAGGGCCCCCGCCACCCCCTGCTCCTCCTCGTCTCCGAACGATGCCACCTTTCACGTGCCAGCCTGGGCCAGCGACTGCCGCGGGCGCGCCCGTTCACGACCAGCTAGCGTACCCTCGCTGATGTCCTCCCGAGCAAGTCTTCAGGCTTCAAGGGGAGCGAGAGCGCGGAGGCGAGCTTGAGACTGCAGGGGGCATTCGGCCCCTCGGTCGAGGTTTGCCCCTGGGAAGGGTCTGAGGACGGCGGGCGTGGGTCTCGGAGAACCTGCGGCCCCGCAGAGCCAGCCGCGAGCAGACGCGCAGCCCCGCGCCCGGCGCCCGGCCCCTGCACTCTGGCTGCTCTGCGGGGGACGCGGCCGCGCTGGCGCTTCTTCGCCCGCCTCCTACCGTCTCGGCCGGGCCGGTAGCGGGCGCTTCGCCGGCCCCGCGCGGCGTCCCGGCCAAGCCGAGGGTCTCCACGCGCGTGCATGCGGCCTTCGGGGCACATCGCAAAGGTCTCCGGGTGGGGGGGTGTTGAGGTCCCCCACGCCGGGTCTGGGAAGGAAAACCCCCAACCCTTGACCGAGTTTCAGGACGGTCGGGACTTGGCCGCGAACTCGAAGTTCCCCGGGGACCGGGAGGGAGCCACACACTCTGCGCGCGGGTGGGTGACTCTGCCGCCCAGGAAGATGCACGGGCAGAGAGGGGTGCGTGAAAGACGCCGAAGCCCTAGGGTTACGTCCTCGGGGTGGGGGGGCCCTGGGCTGGGGAGCGAGGCCGCTGGGAGCCCACGCGGGAGGGACAGGCAAAGCGACCTGACAGGTGAACGCGGCGGGAGGGAGCCACGGCTCAAATGGCAACCCCCCTGAGCACTTACTTCTTCGCTGGCGCCGTCCCCGGGAGGCGTTTTGGCTGCCGATGTATTCCATAAAGTTCAAAATGATAAAAAACCAAGAAATCAGTCGCAAGTGCATAGTAACCCAGTAATGTTTCCCTTCCTTTTCGCCTTTTTTCTCTCGGAGGTTCCTGCGAGTTAATGCTTTACAATGAGGTGTGGGTGCTAGGCGTCTGTGGAGCGACAGCGGGACCCAGGCAGGGGGACCCGTCTCCGCTCCGATCCGGCCGGCGGGCTGCGGTGTCCACGCGGCGGGACGCGAGGGCAGGGAAACCAGCTACTGTGCGTTCAAATTATCCGGGAGGCGGCTGTCATCGCCGGGCGCGACCGGTGCGGGAAGAGCGAGCGGCCGCGCGGGGGCGGCCGCAGGTAGCATGTTGTGCGACGGCGGCGGCCGCGGGCGGGTGGCGGCGGCGGCGGCGGCCTCTCGGGCTCAAAGGCTGCAGCGGCTGCGGCGGCTGCGGCGGGAGCCCCGGGAGCGCAGGGGAGCCGGCGCCGTGGGCACCGCGGCCATGGCCAAGGGGTGGCGGAGAGACCCTGAGCTGCTGCTGCTGCTGCCGCTGCTGCCGCTGCTGTTGGCGAGCAGGAGCCGCTCCAGTGTCGGGCAGGGCTCCCGGGAGCACCCCATAGGGGGAGGAGGGAGGGAGGGGACAGCGGAGGGGGAGAGGAGCGGGGGATGGCTGCGGGGGGCGGGGGAGCTCGGGGGCGGGGAAGGAAACTGCTGGAGCCACAACCCTGAGCGACCTCAATAACTTTCAATTTCAAGAAGGAAAGAGAGAGCTGGAAAAGTACAGGCGTTGCGATTTGGCAGAGAGACGGGAAGAGGCGCCTAAGGGGTCCCGGGTCTGTGGCGGAGCATCTCCCGACCGGGCAAAGACAGCGGGCGAACAGGCACCCGGCTGGAGGGCGTGGGGGCGGCCCCGCGGCGTATAGACTCGAGCCCCCAGCAAAGCATCTCTTGCGGGAAGAGGTGGACTCGCTCGGGCCGGGAGGGTGGAGGCCCGAGGTCCTGCGGGCTGGAGCTCTCCTCCCCAAAGCCGACTGGTCTCTGCCTCCCCAGGCCGGGCGCGCCCGGCTTGCCTCTGTCCTGCGCCCTGCGACCCTGGTCCTACTCCCAGCGCCAGTGCTCAGTGGCTGAGCCCGGGGGGCAGCTCGCCCCTCGCCCGCGGGACAGAGCGATGGAAGCTTCTGGCTGCCAACTCCTTCCCAGCTTTCCTGAGCTCCTTCCTGGTGGCTCTACTCTCCTTCTTTGCAATAAAAGTAGCTGCAGTTGGCGCCAGGCGGGTGGTCCGGAGGAAGCTCCGTGGGAGCTACTGGTCGCCTGGGCCTTGGGTTACCTGCGGGGAGTGAAGCGGACCCCGAAGTGTATGCCTTTAGGACTGTCCCTTTAGAAACGCAGTTGTGCTGCAGCTTTATTCCAAGCGGAGTCCTGGCTGTTTCTGTGGAAGATTCCTCCTCCCCTCAAGCAAGTCCCAAAGTAGTTAACTCGTCCCTGCTCAGCTCTCTTCTAATCTATCACTTTTCCGTCTCCTCACGCCCTTCAGAGAATCCTTCTGGCCTGTGTTTTGTTTTGGACTTTGGGGAGCTGGTGTAAAAACTATTTTTTAAATGTGCCCTGCCTTGGGAAAGATGGTGGTGGTGGTCCCCTGTGTATCTCAGTTCCAAGAGGCAGTGGGAGCACCTGGCAGGGAGCATCAGGCTTTACAGCCCACCCGGGGGGAGGTGGGAGAACCAAGGACTGTCAGACACTACAGAGGGAGCTTACACCCAGCTTGATTTTAGTCAACTGTACGCTTCTCGCCTCTTTTCTCCAATCGCACAAGTTCACGGGTGCCAGTAAGTAGTTAGCGGGTCACAAGCCATCAGTGACTCTAATGTAAACCTGCACCGTGCAGGATTAGCAGAGCATCAGAAAGACTACCCTCATTAGCACTACCTCTCACAGCAGCACACTTCTGGAAGGGCACTTGCAGGAAGTCCCTCATTCAGAGAGACCTTGGCAATTCCTAAGCCCAAATAACAGAGGTTAAGAAAACACCTAAAGCCTTGCAGGAAAACAAGTACAATTTGTAGGACTCTACCCCCACCCCCTACCCCAAATTTCACTGTTGAGACTTGGGTTGTCTTCAACGTGTGTGTTGGCAGAGGAATAAAAGAAAGGCTATCATTGAATCCTTCCATTTTACAAGCTTGAGATGTAACAAATTGTTCTGTCTCTTGAGCCTCCAACTTTGGTGGAGTTGTCAAACAACACCAAAGTGAGGGTGGAGGTGATAACATGACCAGACTGCAAAAAGAAATGAAGAAGAAATATGCATCCCTCTCATATGCTAAAAAGATAGAATTTCAAAGACTGGCTTTCCCATGATGATTCCTTACATAAATGTTATGTATTACAGGACACCATTCACATTTTGAAGGTAGCCATCCTGAGTTTGTTTTCAGTTTGGTATTACCTGGAAGACAAGAGCTCCATCAAGATTATGATTTTAGGACATTTTGAAGAATTCTCATTCTCATTCGCAACACTTTCATTTTGCACCCACACACAGGCCTCCATTACAGTGACATGATTGATATCCATTTGCAAATGATGTGAATCAATCTCTTTGAACCAGAAAATGGCAGGTAACAAGGCAATTCTAGTAAGGGCTATTCAAAAAAAGTAATGACCCTACTTTTGTGTGCCTCTGTTTTTCCTTCTCACTGAATCCTTCAGGTCCTGAACAACTGCGCCATAAACCAGGGGGGATTTAAAGACTGTGGGAGGCCCCCTTTGAAAAGGAATCCAGAGATGGGCTTTCTAATCCAGGATACTTGAGCCGGATGGAATGAGATTGCAAAAGAGATGTAAAAAAGTAATTTGGTGCACAACTTCAGGGAAATAAACACGAAGAAAGACACTTTTTCACCGTGTGTTCAGCAGACATGTGTTAGTTTGGAAGTGAACAGGAATGGCAGTGTAAGTACATAAACAAGCCTAGTGAGAAACTTCAGTTATTGAAGCATCCCTGGAAAGGAGAGCTACATGCAGTGGACAGGAGAAACTCGTCAAGGAATAAAGGCTGTTCAGAGGAAACATAAGGAAAACATTACATAAACTGCGAGTGTATTCTTTCTCTCTTGACGCTATGCTTTAGAATAACTTTTTCCTGATCCACATTACCGTACCATTAACTGTGTTTACTTGCCTGGTTGAGTCTTGGATTCCCTCAACTGTTTTAGCAGCTCATGGAAAGCATGCCATAACCCACTTTGTGTAACATAGTACCATTTATTTATCAAGAAGGCAAAACTCACAAAAACCCTGTAGCTGGCAGTGAATTCTAGGGCCTGAGCCTGAAGCAAGTTAGAAACCATAGACTTCCCATAGAGGTCATTATTTGTTCTTTTTCGCCAGAAAACATTAGCGTCCCAGAGAGTTTGGATAACTAGGAGGAGTTGAAGAGACTCAGGCCAGGAAACAGAAGAGTTTTGGACAGAGATAGGGCATTAAACACATCCAGACTAGTTACTGCAACTTCTCATCTCTCCTCTACCACCTCCCCCAGTCAGGCAGTGACAGCAGTAACAAGTTATTTTTATCCATTGCAGCAGTGAGTGGCACTTTAAGGAAAGAAAATGATTGTCATATTGTTGCATCCATACTGCAAATATGTGGAAGGGGGTGTACTCCAGAGAGCGAGCGTGTGAGCAAGTCCAATCGTTTGGAATGGGATATAACTAGTAGTGTTGAGAGATGTTTGGCAAAGTTTGCGCTATCAGTCATTAGACCACAAAAGCTAATATGCAGATTCTGAAAATGTACAGCTCCCCCGTCATTCAAATCTGGAGGGAGGCCTCAGAGTAAGTACATTAAGCAGAGTATTGATGGTGGGGTCCTTGTGACCAATACAACTAGGAGACATTCCTGAAACACCAAGCAGACAACAATATTTAAAAGCCACTGAAATTAGTGGATGAAGGACAGCTCCTAGTTTGAGAGACAGGGAGAGAGAGAGAGAGGAAGAAGACATAATTATTGTGGCTATTTAAAGTGTGGTTAAATGGTTCTATAGTATTAAGAAAGTAAAGGAATCAAGACCCAGGATGGGTTACTTGGTGTCAACAAGAAAGAATGCCCCAGATGAAGTTATAAAGTTAGAAAATTTGGAGACTACAGTATGATGTGCCTGTTTTTCTTAACACCTTATTTTCACAAAACAGCTCATTGCTGGACTTGTTTTAAAAGCGCCTACCCAATAGTATTTAACATAAAAAATTAACACTTCAGAAATTTTGTTTGACCCGAGAGATTTCATAGACTGGGCTGTGTGGTACGTAGAAAGAACACCTAGGGATAGGGGACTTCCTCTTTAAAAATAGGTGAAATGATCTCCAAAGTCCCTCGTAGCTCTGAAAATAATGGTAATATCTCCAAAAAAGATGGGCCGAGTTGTAATTGCAAATGTCAAAGCAATGTCTAGTTATGTGACATCACAACTTTCATTTACCAAATAGTGTTTAATTGAATAGCTCCAGATTTAGAAATCTGCTTTCCGAATTGTTGATTTTCTGGAAATGCCTAACCCATTACAAGAATCCTAGTGGTCTAGTGAAGAGAGATCCAAGATGACCTTAATCTGTCGAGATGTCTTTATGTTATGAGACAACAAGGGAGACCAGATTTAAAATTTCAGACTCTGGGCAGGCTCCTAGGGAGAGAAGGGCAAAGGGCTTCGAGCCTTCATGGAGGTCCCACTAAATCCTGGTTTGTTTTCAGGAATTGTATGAGTATTTCAGAGGGCTTTCTGCTGCTGTCAACAGTACAGTCTCAGAAATGCCCGTGTCCTCGAGGGTGGCTATGAGTCGGCAATAATGGCAGCATGTTTGAGTTTGATTTACTCCTTTATATTTATATGTTTGGTTGAGACTCTGTATCTATGACGCTTTTGTCTCAGGAAAACGCTCCAGTAGATCAACAGTGAAGTACACTGCACTGCAGTGAGGCATGACTGCAAACAGACGTGAGAGGATCAGAAGATACAAACTGCAAAGCCAGATAAGGGTTAATATTAATGAACATTATTTTTGTAGGTTATTTTCTATTTATTCACTCAAAAGACATCTTTTCATAGATGAGACAAGTGAAGCCAGGAAAGTAATCTTAGGTAGAAGGAAAATTCTCTGGTCATTTGCTAGTTCTCCAAGTCCTTTTTCCCCTCCTGTTCTTCAGGATGTCGATTTCGACGAATTCCACCACCAAACTGCCATTGCCCTTTGGTGTCTGGTTGACTTTAGGCAATGGAGGTCACCCACAGGAGAGGAGATGGTGGGAAGAAAGAGGAGTCTTGCTCCTGTGCTGCTTTGCTTGTGACTAAAAGGTAACTAGAGCTGT